GATTATATAAAATTGTATTATATTATTTTAAATAATCTGTGATATTATGTTAATTAGTTATATAAATATTGGTGCTAAACTGTGTTTTTTTACTGAAAATTATGTAGAAGATGATTTTTTTGAAACTTTTGATGTATCTAAATTAAAATTCTAATGAGTAGTTTCTGAGTTATTAAAATGTATTATAACGTAGAATAATAATCCTTAAAAGAAGAAAAGTAACTAAACTCAGCGAAATAAAGCGTACAACAGAACATTGGAAAAACATTGCTAATCTTAATAGAAAAGACAAAGTAATATTAACTAGACTAAGAATAGGCCATACTCACTACACACACGGCTACCTAATGAACCGAGAAGAACAAACAGAATGCGCATCATGTGGAATGTTTTGATCTGACAATCAAACACATTTTTGTCGAATGCAGACAAACTCAAGCCGCCAGAAATAAGCATAGCATCCCAGAACATCTATACGAATCACTAGGCCCGAACATAGAAACCATCACAAATACTCTAAGCTTCATCAAAGATATACAAATCGAAAATGTATTGTAAAAAATTAACCATAATATGTAATGTACTAACAAAATCATTGTAATAACTAATCTTATATAATTGTTAATTGTCAAACGTCAGCCAGTGGCCTTYGCTGCCGAGGCTTATTCTAATAAAAAAATAATCCTTAAAAATTATTTATTTTTTTAAATAAAAACTATATTTAATGTTAGACATAGTATTTATTATACTTGGTTAATTTTTACAAATTATATATATTGATAGATCAATAGTTATTTAAAATATTTTAAAAAATATATATAACTGTTTGATAATTAAAAGTAAAAAAAGGTGGGTTCCTACTTGAAAAACAAAATTTTGTATTGCAACAAGATCATACTTGAACGGTACACAACATTTCAAATGTATTTATAAATTCCAAAAATTAAAATTTTAAAATATGTATAAGCATACTCAATTTATGGTTACGCTTAAAAAATCACCCTGTATAATTTACTAAATCATTAACATGTTGTATAGTTAAGATTATTAAGAATTAAACATACTTGTTTAGCACTTGGAGTCATTCCTTGTTGAACAACAATAATAGCTCGAGTAATGGTTTCTTCTTGCATCCTCTGACAGTAAGTTTTTATAGTTTTTATACCAATTTTTGGTTCTTCAGGAAAGAAAACAAACATTTGATCTAAAATTGATAAGGAATTATTAAAATATTAGAAGTTGTACAATATGCTACTTGTTATACCTGTAGGGTCGTCATTATGTGCCACAAGGACTATTAAATCACTACGTCCTGGTCTTTTTTCACTGTAAAAATAACAATTTATAATACTTAAAAATCTATTAAGGAATATGAATAAATTGTATCTAGTTGTTGAATAAAGTATATTGAAGCTAATTTTTAAAATATTAAAATTTTAACAAACCTAGGTTTATCTCCAAATTGTTCTTTAAACTGTTCTAATGTTTGATCCAATTCATCCTGTGTGACTAAGTAACCTCTGTCATGGCAAAGCTATTATAAAACACAATTATTTATAAATTAATGATACTTTTAAATTATTGTATTCCTAATAATATTGAGTTTACAGATGCGTCATCATAAATATCTGATAAACTTACACAACAGATACTATTTTTAACCTAAATATTGTATTACATCTCTTTTCTATACTGTTTTAATGTTAGTTTCTTTATTTCATAGAACCTCCTGTACAAGTTAAAACCATAGTTTCTCTCTATGTTATATTTACCTAAAATTGCTAAAACTGTATGTTGAATAATAATAATATTATGTTTAATATCAATATCAAGTCAGGGCTGTCATACTATCAATTATGCATTGTAAAAATATTCCGATTCTATTATATTATTGATCTATATAATTCTTTGAAAAATCAAAATGCATTTGAATATGATATGTAGGCTATCAATAATACAATCTTGTATGCCCAAACCCATGTAAATGTATACAACCTACTCCAAATTTTGAGCGTTTATGGTGATTGGCTATAGAAGAAAATAAAACGCAATCAGAGACTCATTGATCTGTTACATTCTTATATAATAGTAACATGCAATTCATTGGCAACAAAAATATTTAAGTAATAACTATTGATTTACATAAATTATAAAAGACATTGTTAAATCTATCCCAATTTCTTAAATATTTCATTAAAAAAGTAATAGGTATCTAATAAGTTTCTGTATGATAACAGTTAAGTTATGTTTAAATCAATGTTTCATAATATAAATCAGGTGTAATAGTAATGCTAAATAGTTTAATTATTTAAAAACAATGTGAAATACAATAATGAAATCAATTTCATTTAAAATATTAGATTATGGGTTATTCAGTAATTGGGCAACAAATTGACTGAAAGAATGAAATCAATTAATTTATTAATATTATGTTGACTTAGGTAAAGCAAGTGAAAACATTTTTCCAAAGTGTTAAAAATTTGATTTTTGGTAACCGAGTAACCTCAATTTTAAAGGATACGAATTACACAGAAGTAACCATTTAATCCATCAACTGGACAATTCAGACCGTTTATGACCTTCTAAGGCCAGTTCTTATAATGTCTGGTTAAGTGTCCGTGTCCGTGTCCGTTAACGGTTAACTGGACATTGTAAGAATCAGCCTTAGTCTACATAATTATATTAGTGTAAATATAAAATTAGGTTTGGTGTTTATCTTACTTGCATAACCGTTTTTCGAATACGCCACAGTTTGTACGACTCACATTCGTCATCCATAATTGAAATTTTTAAACGCAAACTAAAGTTTAACGCTGTCACTACTCGGCACTCGCTGTGTCGCCTATGTCTATAATCTTTATATATCCGACAGCTGCCGGGTCCACGGTCTTAGGAGTAAAGTTAGGACTTAGAATAAAGGCCCAACCATGATAAAAAAATGAGCATGCGCGATAGATGTTGATGATAACAATATAACAATGATAAATTGATAATGCGATGATCTCATAGATCACCATAGATCATGGATATACGTCTTATTGTACCACGGTTTAAGATGGAATTATCCTAAACCGTGTATTGTACCGTCTACGGTTAAACTTCGATTACGCTTAATCAGCTGATAACAGATATWTAACCRTGCAAATTCGGCCGATTAAACTCCGGTTAACTTTAATCAGAGACGGTACAACTAGTCCTTGCCATAGACATATAAAACAACTAGATAGCCGACTGTATATTACATTCCCATAAGAACGTTGAAGTCGGGCCGCCACAAGGTTAATAGAAAATTAAAAAAAAAATTAACCTTGGGGCCGCCATATGCCAACAGGGCAATGTTTACATGATATCTCAATAGATAAGATACCTATATTGATAAGTGATAATAAATAATAATTCAAATAATGAAAAAACGAATTTCTTTTCATATTCTATAGTCAAAATGTCAAATACAAATTAATTGCACAAAGTAGTAATAAGTACATAATATACTACAGTACAAAATATATTTATATTAAATTTGTTATCATTAATAAATATTCTTATCAACCATGCGATTTTGTAAACATTGCCCTGTTGGCATTATGGCGGTTTTATAATATGTCTAATGTCTATGTTGTTCACAAATCTGATAATCTGACATCTGTTAGTATGGTACAACTATGGTAGTCCGGAACTACTGGAAGTTACTTACTGTTTAACTAGTTAAAATACCAATCTTTATTCTTTATATTTGATGATTTCAAATTCATTCAATTGTATGCATATTGTGTTGTTCTTAAAAATGTAAAATGGTGTTAGAATCTTGTTCTGTCAAAAGATTACTGCTGTTAATAATTTTCATTGGAGGGTAAATATATTTTGATCTGTTTATAAGTTTTTGATAAAACCAAATTTAATTTTAGCTCTTTTTACTTTATTTCATAACTGTAGTTTACAGTGTTTTCTATTTGTCGTCACTCATTTTTCCTTAATAATAATCATTGTCTTATTTATAAATTATTCAAAAATTTGTAAAACAAACAATTATTTATTTTTAGAATTACGCTTCTAATATTTATAAAAATTACATCTTCAAGTACATTGTCTGGTCTAAATGCTACTATTGCAACGGAGGCGTCCGAAGGTGTAAAAGATCATAAAAATTCTTCAAATAAATGTTGGTTGCGAGAAGAAAATACAATTCTAGAGGAGTGTCATTTGTGTTCAGACAAACTTGAATGCATTAATGCAAGTTATGTTGAAACTATTGAATGCAAAATTTCTGGATTAACATATAGAAAGTATGTTTAAATTATAATTAATCAATTTCAAATCAAGGCTATATGTTAAGTCCAACATTCTAAATTTAACTTAAACTAAAAATATGTGTACACAATTAGTTGCAAAGTCTCAACTTACAAGTTAATCATAGTATCCTAAAATCTCCCAACAAATCAACCATCATATTCTTCACTGATAATATTATTTTTACTTACAAAAGATTAAAGTAAAATATTTATTAAACATATAAAATAATATTAATTGTGGTGTTATCTTCCAAATATATATTGCACTCTAGTCATTAGTATATCATATTTAGTTATGAACATTAATAATCATTAAATTTTTTTAATTTTTAGTTGCAACAAGCCAACCATTCAAACGTCAGAAAAAGAATTTTGGTTATTCCAAGGCTCACAATTTGTTATTGCTGTAATTAGTTTATCTGTTATACAATACAAAAAAAAACATTTTCATAAAAAGTTTATGAAAAGAATACAAAAACAATTAGATTCCGTTGTATAGTAGTATATATGGTACATCACATATTGTACAAATAAAAAAATTAATCAGTTTTTCCATAAAATATAATGTCTTCTTTATTTGTTAATATTATTGATTTGGATAAAACCAATGGACATATTTTATGTTCACTACAAACATCAATTGTTTTATTTGTTTGCCAATACATCAAAGCTCCAGTTATTCTTGTGGTATCCAAAAACATAGAAGACAAACACAATAAATTCAAATTCTCCATCAATGATTTAAGTTATACAGTTATATTAGAAAATGATTTACCTAGACCAGCAGCATACTGTTTATTGCCAGTATTTCAAAGTAACAATGGATATTATTGTACTGCTGGATTTTGTTCTTCGTTACGAATGGTACCTATATATTTACTTCATAGTAGATGGTAAAACTTGTGTATATATTTTTTATTGTTTAATACATATATATATATTTTTAGCTTATTAAGAGTATTCAAAAAGACTGGATTTGGCTGCTTGGTTTTAGACAAAGTTGTTTATCTGCTTGTGCTGAAGTTTCATCATGGACAAAATATTGTGAAGTCCAATTGCAGGCATCAATAAATACATTTTTCAGTGATCAAACCTCCGATGAAAATGCCACATATGAAATTCCAATACAACTTGCTCGATTTGAATGTCATCTATCTCAGCCACTGCAAATACACAACATTAATAAGCGTTTAAATGAAAAATCACTCCATCCAACTCAAMGATTTGCAGATGAAGACAATCCAACTCTTTCAGATGTACTTATACTACCAAATATATATATTGCTTATAAATTGCTTGGGGAAAATACAATGAATACATTTTTACCTTTAACGTTAAAATGGTACAAATCTGTTTTGGAACGTTTAGACATTGGTAGTTATCTAGAATGTATAATTTTTGATAGAGTTAAATTGCCAAAAAATCTAATTTTGCCTGAAGTTCCATTTCATTCATTATATAAATGTGATTTACGACGCTATAATCCACGAGCAAAAACATATGTTAAGCAAAATGTACTAGAAATAATCCAGGCATTTGATACCATAAATATTAACATAAATTTGAGCTCTAATAATTTGTGTCCTATTGACTGGGAAGAATTACCGCACGAGGTTCGTCCATCTGGTGGAGATATACCCGATAAAAGACTAATCAGAAAAACACAACAATTGGAAAATCTTATTCAATCTACATTAAATGTATGAAAAATTTATATTGTTAATTGCCGAAATACTTATTGTTTATTTTTTATATAGATTATTAAAGATGGTGACATAGTAGTGGATTTTTGTTGTGGCAGTGGACATTTAGGAATTGTAATTGCTTATCTTGTACCAAACCTAACAGTAATATTGGTTGACAATAAAGAAGAGTCTTTACGGAGAGCAAGAAAGCGTGTTGAAAAGTTGGATCTAAAAAACATAATGATTGTGCATTCTAATTTAGACTATTTTAAAGCAAATTTCCAGGTAGAATTTTTTTACTTTTTATTTTAAGTTTAATAATCCAAATTTAACATTTGCTAGGTAGGTTTATGTTTGCATGGATGTGGTGTTGCTACAGATTTGGTATTAGAAAAGTGTCTACAACAAAATGCAGCATTTGTGATATGTCCTTGTTGTTATGGAGGAGTCCAAGTGAGTCCAGATAACTTTAAAAATTTACATGTGTTATACTTATAAATATGTAATAATTTTTTATAGGATAATCATATTTTGGAGTATCCAAGAAGTCAAGCATTGAGACTAGCTAATTTCTCATTTGAAGATTACTTAGTACTATGCCATTGTGCAGATCAAACACATTTTGATCCAAATTGTACAAAAACACAACAAGGTTATACATGCATGGCGGCAGTAGATAAAGATCGGGCATCCAGAGCAATAGAAGTTGGATATAAAGTGACACTTTCAAAATTGGAACCACCTACATGTACACCAAAAAACAATATGCTCATTGGAATTCCATCATAGAAATAAACGCAGCATTAAAATAACATTTTTAACATATAGAAACAACATTGTATATTTTATAACTCATCTGGTACATTATATCATAACATAACATTTATCTTTCTAAAATCAAAGTTTAATAGTTCTTTAATGAACAATGGTAACAACATAATATTTCAAATTTATGAACAAATAACATACATTCTTAAATTATATATAAATTGTATTATTTTAAGTGTTGTTCATATTAAAATTAATTAAAAACAATAAATAATTAAATTAAATAATTAACAACAAAATAAAAAATAAAAAGTTAAATGGATTGATCAGGGTAAATGGAGATCAATGTTTAGCAGAATTCAAAGATATTTTCATATAAGTTGTGGTCAATATTAATTATTATGACACATTATGTTGGTGAATATTAAACTATTGTATCTTAATTTTCAAATTTTACAGAATTGCGGGCAGTACGTGTCCACACTTAGGTATATAGTTTTTAATTATTATTTTTTTTGGTAAATATTCTTCAGTATGATGTAGTCTATGCATCACATCAGAGTCAAAATCTTGTAAATGTTTATCCAATTCATATTGTACTTCTAAATATCTTTCTGAATTATTAAACTTGCCATCTCCTAAAACAAACACATTTAAATGTACAAAATGATTACAATTATTTTTATTGATGTTAAAATTTAAAAAAAAAATACTACATATTCTATATTTTTTTTTTCATCTAGGATTTAATTTGAAGAATTAGGAGCTATCTATACTATATCCTAGTTTATGTGTATGCGTTTTTGATTGTTTAAAAAAAAAGAAAACATAATTTWAAAAAAATTATAAATTAACAAAAACACAAAACGCCAATTTTGGTAAATAGCTGCTTATAACTTTAGCTCCTTCTTTTTGAGCTAACCACTTACTTATTACACTTTACATAGTCAAATAAATTATTTAGTTAGTTTACCAGGGAGTAATGTCAAATATCCGTCTTTGGTTGCTATAACCATTGGTAATATTTGTTCACATCCTTCAATACTTCTTGTGCAAGCAAAATTTGTTAATTTTGTAAATGATGTAAACTGTCTTAATCTTAACAGTTCATAATATTGAGGAGTCACAAGTTTTTCATCACCATTAAAAAATTGTGATAACATTTCATCTGGTGTATTCCACTAAATATAAAAATAAATATAATATGTGAGACTATGATAAAGCATTTCTATAAAATATTAATAATAAACTAATTGGTATTTGGTATTCACCGTCATTTGAGATGTTTCTACACCATCAGGACTAGCATTAACTGAAGATTCAATAAAAGCAAGAAAAAATTTTGTATCAAATTTTGTCTTCAAAAGTGGAGGTGTTAACCAGTTACTCCACAAATGTAATGCACTAACATCTGGATAACAACTATTTTCATTACATAAGTTGATAAAGTTGGATGCATTTTTCTGAACTAATTTTCTCCATTTGTCAATGCTATCAATTTCTAAATGATTAACAGTTGCACAATTCTCAGGTTTGCTGCAGTTCACTTTTTTACACAACAGTATACCACTTTCTTCAAATGTTTCTCTGATAGCAGTTACTCTTAGTGATAGGCATTTTGGAATAGAACCTTGTTCATTATCAGATACAAATTTAATAGCTGGGCTACCTAAAACAAATAATATTATAAATTGATTTTGAGTAAATACYAACTACTAAAAAGATGATAAATAAKCCATACCGCTGTAGCCCATTATATTCACATTTAAATTAGAATTTGTACAATCTGGAATTATGTCTGTCCATTCCGGAGATGAATCCGATTTTTCTGTAGTTCCTCCTGGAAAGACTGTATAATTGGGTAAGTAAGAATTGATTGCACTTCTTTTAATGCACAGTATTTTGAACGAATCCCGACAAACATTCTTCATATTGGAAGATTTTGTCAGCAGTATAACACTAGAAGCTTCTCGCCAAAAACTCATATTTAAATTTAATAGCTTAAAAAAATTTAAGTTAGATCATTATGGTGAAAATAGATTTAATTTGCATGTTTAAATAGCCGTCCTTTTCAAACTCGATTGTACTTGAACATAAATATAAAATATTAATATAAAAATAATTATGATTTTTTAATGGTTTTTTGATGCATAAGTTATCATCAGTTCATAATACTCGTGTCTCGTATTCTATACACAACAGAATTACGATTTTACGAGGTGGTTGGTCAACTATAATAATAGATACGTCCTCTTAAGTGCAAGTTACCATAATAATGTAATTACTGTCTTATGCTATTAATTATTATCAATATCTAAGAGGATTATGGATATCTATTATTTTGTTTGTATACTGATAATAACTAGAATAAAAACATAGGTAAATACATAGACCTTATACCACAGAACCTTATACTCTTATACCTTAGTATAAGGTCTATGGGTAAATAGTAGTTGGTAGTGGGGAATGTACCTTGATAAGATTTTTTTTTGTCTTCCAACCAATAAAAAACAGCCAAATAGTTGATAGCAAAATGTTGATTGTGAAAGGAATAGAAAATTGTATAGGTACTCAAATTATTACTATTTTGGGGATATTACTAATTAATTATTGCGTCGTTTTTTAAAAAATCGTAAATTTTCATAATTTTGTAACCAGTCAATAAGCTCGTACATCAGCAGTAAGTATATTAATAGTTTGTGTACAGATTGTAATTAATTATATTTTTTTTATTTAATACCTAATTTATTCCTGCAAGGTGCCAAAATATGGACATTAGTCTCACGGATCCTTGGATTACACTAACCATTAAAGCGCCAAACCAACAAATCAATGATCATACAATAAAATGTAAATTGGACTGGTCAGTAGCAAAACTCAAAGGGTACATTCATGAAACTTATCCAAACAAACCAGTATGACGTGTTTTATATTTTTTTTTTTTTTTTTTATTAATAGAATCAAGTCCGCGGCTACTATGGCCATTGGACGAACATTATATTTACAAAATTATACATAGTAATACATTTTTATGTAGAGATACAATATATAAAGGAGAGAAAACAATGAAACATTACGTTAACTTATTGTATTAGATTTTGTTAAGAAGTCCTGTGATGCGGAGAAATTCCAGGGTAGTTGTGAGATTGCTCTGCTCGGGRCTGAGTAATTCAGAGAGCTGGTCCGGAAGGTTCAAATCTCTCCTCGCTTTTTCGTAGCATCTGCAATCCCTGAGGAGGTGTTTGACGGTAAGAGGGGAGCCACAGACGGTACAATCAGGGGGTTCTTCCCTCTTCATGAGGTGTTGGTGGGTTATATGGGTATGTCCAATCCTGAGGCGAGTAATGACTGTCTGGTGTTTCCTGGATATGTTTGCAGGGAACGGCCAAGGGTATGTGGTTCTTTTGATTTCATGTAATTTGGTTGTCTGTTCTGCCCATTTTTTTCCCCATTGGTCATGTACATCTTTAGCAATGATTCTCTTAACGTCTTGGTATGTAAAATYCAAGGACRTGAAAGAGTTATTGGCTAGGTGGGCGAGTTTGGCGGCCTTGTCAGCGAGTTCATTGCCTTCAATATTACAATGGCCGGGGATCCACATGTAGGAAATTTGTTTACCRGWAAGWGTAGCGGTGGAATGTGCATTGTGGATTTTTTTTGSTATGTCAGTTGGTTTCCATTGGTTCTGGATACTCGTGAGAGTAGAAAGTGAGTCACTTAGAATAATGATCTGATCAGCTTCAACTTTATGCGTTGCATATTCGATGGCTTTGAGAATGGCTAGTGTTTCGGCGGTGTAAATAGAGCACTTGTTTGATAGTTTCCATTGCATTTGTGTATTCCCGTGAATGATAGCCATTTCGACACGATTTACCATGACCGATGCGTCCATGTATATGAATGCGTGTTGCAGTTTAGATGACAGTATTTCCATGAATAGATTTCTGTAATGAGTGGTACTTGTAGATTTCTTGGGAAGTTGGTGAAGGTCCAGGTTGATGTTCATCGAAATTAGCCATGGTGGGGAGATGTTCATTTCAGTTGTCAGAATTTTGTCTAGATCGTATTTTTTGTATATGTCGAAAATGTGTTTGGGGGAGGAGTGGAGACCTTGGGGGGCGCGAGCCATTCTTGCTGCGATTTTGAGTGTTCGTTCTGACAATATGATGCCCAAAGGTGGAATGCCAGCAATGCTAAGGATGCTACTGATGGGGCTTGATCGGAAAGCACCTATGGATAGTCGGACCCCCTCGTTGTGTACCGATTCAAGCATTCTGAGGTGAGTGGGTTTGGCGGTAGATATTAGAGGGGCTCCGTAATCTATTTTGGAAAGGATAAGTGATTTGTGGATCTTTAGTAGCATTTGTGTTTGTGCTCCCCATGCTGTGTGGGATAGTGTTTTGATTAGATTAATTCTTGAAAGACAGGATTTTTTTATTTGTTGTTTTATATTTTATTTTGTTGTTTATTAAGATGTAGTCAAAGGGAAACTACTTAAGTTTACTAAATTAAATCGTTTTACTTTTTTGCTAGAAAACAGAGGACCAAAGACTAATATACTCTGGTCAGCTCTTAACTGACGGTGTTATTCTAAAAGACGTTTTGAGACCATATGACGAAGATGGACAACTCAATCGTACTGTTCATTTAGTTTGTTCATCTTCGTCTTGTTGTGTTCCACTTAAAGGTAAATAATTACATTTAAACTAATTTATATTTATCATTTTATTACATTRTCTGATAAATAATTTAGATGATATCATAATTTAATATAAATATTCATTCACTAATTTATTTACTTAATTTATATCATTTTAAACACTAACTAATTTGGCTAACAGTACTTAAAATACATAAAAAACATAACATGAAATAATACAAAAATAAATATTAAAAATTTGGTTCGGGTTTTAGAAAGTTAACTTCTTTCCATACGTAACCTTAGCACTCAAATCATGCATTTTATATTTTATCTGTGATGTCAAATGGTGGGCTCTTGGATTTAAATTTCAGCTTATGTTCCATTTGATCCAATCAAATAACTAATGTATCTCTAATGAATTAATATATGTTATCATACAATATATTATGTTTGTTGGTTAGTTAACCAATATGCTTTATGTCATTTATAGTTGGATTAATTTAATTTAAAATGTTTGTACTAAATCCAGTATTCTATCCTTCCAGTGTGTCAGCTGTTAGGTTTCTTTAATTATTTAATTTTTTTAGATGACATATTATTTGTTTTTTATTATTTATAGAAAAAATTAAAAGTGAGGAAAGTGTTAATGAAATTAATGGCAAATGCCCTAAGTCGAATGAAGTTAACTACGGTGCTAGTACTTCTGGAATTAGTACCTCTGCAGATACTAATCAAGGAGCTCGCCAAGAAGCTAGTACCTCTTCAAACAATAAACAAGAAAATAAACCAATCCAAAGTCAAACCAAAACTAATAGAAATGTTAACCATATTCCATTGACACCTGAACAACTAGCACTTGAGCAAGTATTGTGGGTGAATAAAATGTATGCTGTACAAATGGCAGAATATTGGCAATCGTAAGTAATTAAATTTTTACCAATTCATTATTATTATTGTTTCTAAACAATTAAATGTTTTTTTATAGGGTTGCGTCAAGTTTAGGTGCTCCTACACAATTGACTACTCCAACTGTTGAAAATGAATCACCTTCTCAAGATTTACCAAATAATAATAGTAATTGAAATTTATAAAAATAAATTAAAATTTGAAAAACTGTATGCATATTAAAGATTTGATACTTACTTATTTTAATATCAGATAACAACAATCAACCAGCAGACCAAAACCTACCCGCTAATAATGCAAATATAAATATACAAGATGCTGGACCCAATCAAGATTGGTTAGATTGGTTATATGTATCCAGCAGAGTATTTATTTTCATAAGTGTTCTATACTTCTACTCATCACCTGGCCGTTTTATTGTTGTTGCTGGCTTTGCGCTTATTTTATATTTGTAAGTTTAACATTTATTTTTAAATTGTAAATAAAGTTTTTACTCAGAATAACATGATATAATATTATATAATATGTTGGTTTTTTTTTTTATTATTATTTAAGAAACTTGGTGAGAACCATTAGTTTAGACAGTTGTATATTGGGTTATTTGAATTGTTAAATTGACCTAATAAAAATATTACATGACATTATATAATCTTTCTCAATTATTTTCAGGTATCAAAGTGGAATTTTAAGACACATTAATGAGCATAATAGAAKGAGGTTTCAACCTGAACCACAAGAACAGCATGTCGATGACAACAGGAACTCATCACAAGTACAGAATGGAAATACTGAAGACATTGCAGTAAGACAAAATGAACGTTTAATAACTACGTTATGGACAGTAGTTAGTACATTTTTTACTTCTCTCATACCCCAACAACCAGATATAATATAAGTTTTAAATAAATCATATGTAAAAAAATTAACATATTAAATAAATATGTATATTTACTATTGTATTGATATTGATCTAATTGTATTCTTTATTCTGTTATATTGTTAAGTTTTATTATAATTTATTATTGTATTTGGGGTGATTAAACAATAATACTATGTTACTATGTAATATGTATTATATTATTTAGGGACACATCATGTTTTTCTATAAATAAAAAGTAAGAAGCACTTAGATATTTTATCTGTAATTTATACTATTCCATAAACAAAATTAAAGGCTACACATATAAACATATTTTTTAATAATTACTCAAAATGTATGTTAGTAGATACTTTGTATTAATTATCTATACAGTTTAGAATACTTTTATGCTATTAAAATACTAATTAAATACAATAAAACACTTATATTACCAATAAAATACAATTTATAAATATTATGCTGCATTACTTTTGAAATATGCATTACATTTACAGCAATTTATAATCAAAATTTATATATTTATTAACCATAGGTAATTTAGTAATTATCATCTTTTCATAAAAATAAACCATATCTCACTAACAATTGGCATAATTAACAAAAAATTGTTCCTTCTTCTTTTTTGACCAATTTAATGATAAGATGGGTTATTCCTTTACAGTTTATATACCTGTAGAATCTGGTATGTCAACTATTTAGTATTGTTCTCAGTTTATACTCGACTTTAAAATCATACTCTTTACTCAAGTTAAAAACCATATTTGGTAACAGTTAATCAACCTCTGTTTGTCACTGTTCACATGCCTAGTAAGAATGCCCCTACGCACATTTTCATGACCAATAACTGTTCTTAATTTAAATACAGTGTAAATTATGTTATTTACCAAATAAATCATTATGGTCAACAATTCAAATTATTGATATCATTTCACAAATCACAGTAGACAATTAACAATACAAGCATATTTAATCTACTTTAATTTTTTTAACGTCTTAAGCCATTTTAAGGTTTAAAATATCCCCCTCCTCCACTGGTTACCCTAGCCATGGATAGACTAGCACTGTAGCTAGTATTTTTGTGATAGAAGAACAAATAAGTGGGTTACACGTTATTTAAATAGTTTCTAGCGCATTTTTTTTCAGTTTTCAGCTCCAACAAATTTTTTTCCGTGTCAGTAATTTTCCAAATAGTTTTGATGCATGACAGTAAGCAATTAAAAAATGTTACAATACTTACCAACCAAAAAGCTTCTATAAGCAAGATAACTGTCTTTAGTTATTGTAAGACAATATTATTATGTAACACAATTAAATAATAAAAAATTGTTCTGGTTAACATAAATAAAAGTTTGGTGTTAAGCCCATAAATTTTCCTGTCAGGTGGCTATGGCATTGTAAATTGTATTATTGTCCATGTTATATTAGACGAGTACTTAACCAACATATAAAATACAGAAATATCATCTAATGATATGAAATTATATTAATAAAAAATCCATACAAAACACTAAAATACATCTTAAATAGTTAAATTTATAAACTAATGAGTAGTGTTATATAAAATTAAAATTCTATCATTTCTTCGTCTTTATGAATAATTTCTAATGGTGGATACGAAACAACAAATCTTTGGGATACAACCATCATTATGGTATATTGATTGAAATCATCTTCAAATAAAACTTCATATCCATCATAACTTGTTTTAGGAGGAGCTTTCACTAGAGCTTTGAAGAAACAAGTAGTCTGAGGATACATTGCTAAAACTATACAACAATAATAATAGAATTAATAAATTATGTCAATATTTAATTATATAATATTAAGCGATGAATTGAAATGGTTTTTAAGAGACCTTCAACTACGAATATACAATATATTTTTACTATATTTATCAATTTAGTTTGTTACCTGTCATAAAATTTAAAAAATATTGCTATAACAATAAAAGTATACTAACCAAATTGATTGCATGGAAAAAGTGCGTCTGGACAAGTGACTGGATCAGCTCTCATTAGTGGTAATGGCTTCACATATATTTTTTCTAATGTAAAATTACGATTAGTTTCTTTCACGTCAATATCTTCCACTTCATATCTTCCATTTTTAAATGCGACTGCTTCTGCCACAATCCATCGCTCTTCTCCAGATTGTTTAACAAGTGCTGCCACCAAATCCCCACTCTATAATTTATGTAAGCAATACAAATTATTTTCACACAACATACTTTACATACTTTTGCAACATATGAAGGTAGTGGTTCAATAGCACCACACAATGGAGGTGGTTGTTCATCATGTCTTGGAAACCACACTGGCATCCGTGTAGCTGTTACTTGTAATAATTTAAGAAATGTCGAACTTCTTTGAGACTGCAGAAGTGACTAAATATACAAATAATCTTTTAAAACTGATTTAATTTTGATATTATCATGTACCCACTTTGATATTTTGATGACGTATGTTTCGTATTTCATGTATTATATCTAACATTCTTCTAATTGTTTCTTCTTCTCTTACAGTTTCCAGATCAGCTGATTCATAAAAGCTGGTTAAAGATTTCTATATATAAAACAAAACATACAACTTTCAATAAAATATTTTTATTATTAGTTTCGTGACTTACTTGAGATTCAGGATCAATCGTGCCTTTTTTAATAACTTGTTCTTGAGTATCATTAATTATATCAATCACAGCTTCAGTAGATAACTTGGTTGGTGGCAGATTAAATAGCATCTTGAATAATTTCACTAAAAGGGTCTAAAAATAAATACTCAATTTTAATTAGTGTTATAACAACTGTACAAGTGTATACTAATGCAGTTTTTAAAAATGCAAAGGTAAAATATAACACAATATAATATTATGGAATATTGTTATTCGTTTTATTGATTTTCATTCATATTTTTCAGTTATTAATATTGATCATCATGCTAGATTTTGATAAGATACATTACACTATGTAATATGTATTATATATTTTTACAAAAATATTACCTGTTCATTAGAATTTTCTTTACCCGCAACAGTTGTATCAATTATTGATTTTGGCATTGCCATACTTTGTTTCTGAAATTATTTTGACAATATATAAGTATTTAATTTATCATAATTATTATTTATGATAAATGTAATAAGTTTATATAATATTGGAAAAACTTTTAAGGCATAGGATATTCTATCTAGTGAGCTAAATAGAAGTTCTAATGTCCGTGACAAAATAATTCAACGGTCTTTTAGTTTTACAAATTAAGGGTAATTTAGGTCTTAATGGATTTGATATATTTTATATATAACCCACAAGTCATGGGCCAGTGGTTCATTGCCCATTATGTTACCATATCAGTATGCTACTGATCCTAACAGAATATTAATGTTTTTTAGATGGTTTTCTTGGAAAAGTAGAAATAAAAAATAAAAAATAAGTAAACAAAAACATAATTTAAAACCATTTAAAAATAATTATTGATTAGTGCGGCTAAAATAATAATTTTTTAAGTGCAACAGTTTTAAATCAAAATAATATTGTAAAATAAATATTATGAAATAAAGATTAAAGTATGTTAAACTAGAAGTCTTGTATTTTAAAGAAAAATGTTAATATTAGAAGTATTTCTTTTTTCCCTTTGACCAATGCATATTATCCTTTTTTAAATTATTTTTTTGTAATCTTAGAGTTAAATCTATAATATCTATTAAAATACAGTTCTTAGCCTTGATATTTTTATAATTTTTTAATTGAAGTATTTATTAAATACACACTATCAATGTATACTCAGAGTTAGAATTGAGAGTGGAAGGATGACAGGGTTCCTCTTCTTAAAAAAAAAGTATTTATGTGTACCGCTTATAATTATATCATGATCAATAAGATATTAAAACCTACGAATTACAAACATGCGTCAATACATCCTTCCTAATTTTTCTAGATTCAATCATTGTCGATACTTTAAAAAAACATTTTTAATTAGATTAAATTTATACAGTTAACTAAAGACCTATATTAGCTTCATTATGTTAGTTGATTTAAATTAGGTAAATAGGTACTACAAGCCATATACCTAGGTAGGTTTGAAAGATTGAAATTAGTTAGATCTAAATATTTAAATTGTTCAAATGGAAACAGTACTCACCAAACAGTTTTAAAATAATGGTTTAATTTATTTACTTTTTTGAATTTATAATGGTAAGCTTGTTGTGTAGCTTAATAGTACAAACGAACGAGTGGAGTTTGTCACAACATTAACAAATAACAAATATTAATTGAAAATTAGACTATGTTGTCAAAATTTATTGAAATAATTAGTTAATCTCGGTAGTCCGTACCCGTAATCACGATGCATATAATACAATTAATACCACAATACCACATAAATAATAAATTATATATTATATTATAAGGTCCTGCCGCAGTTGGTAGAGTATCAACTGATAAGCGCCTGTTCCGTATCCTATTATATTATTACTCTGAGGTATCCAGTATATCTTAATTCGTGATATAAACATATTATTAATTTATAAATGTTTATATAATAACACGGTTGATATATAATTTCTGACAATACCACAAAATAAATATGGTAAATTATTACTATGTTTTGAAAATTGTTGATTCTTTATTAAACGGTATTTAGTGCAAGAATTGTCCGCTAGGAGCGCTAATAAGAAGACCGATTTTGGTCTTATGCTATTTATGGTTTACGGTAACTATTGTCTATTGTAATATGTTATAATGTCGGTATATTTAATCCAACATTTTTTTTTACGTGTTTCTATTTTTTGTTAGTTTTACTTTAATACATTTTTTTAATCCAAAAATTACAATATGTTCAGTGGTGACAGTGGTGTATATAAGGGAGGATTAGTGGACTGTAGCCCCACTCAAAATTACGGTAATTACTTATATAATTTTTTTTTTACGTCGATAGCTTTGCCCTATCCTTCACTACTACATAACCTCATCAACGGACGACGTCCAACACAATTGATCACTTGCTATAGTTTAGTAGTTTTTATTTATTATAGCCCACCCCAAAAATTTTTCCTGTATCGGTACGCCACATGAATATGTTATTTAAATATGTGAAATTTGACTTATCAACATTCAAAGTTTGTACTGTGAGATGTTCAATTTCCTTGTAATATTAATGTTATAGTTCATATAGTATTATTATTATACTGTGTCAGATTTCTTATTAGTTAAAGGAACAACTTTTAAACTTTTCTAGGTGTGAAAAAAAAAAGTTGATGACAAATATGAAAAATGTTTTTGAAAAATAATTTTTAAGTTTCTTACTAAGATCGACTAAAGGTAAAGTTATTTTAATTATGTTTATTATTTGAAATACTGAATAATGATTAACAAAATTTTTATCAAGCCCATAACTATATGGGAATACTAGAAGTATAATGTTATAATTGTTTATTAATATGTTATATGTGTAGTTTATTGACTATTGTGAATAATTCGATAAAACAAAATGTATATCTTTCAATATTTTAGTTTGTACGTTTCTATTTGATGTTCTAATGAGTTGTAAAATTTTACATGAAATTACCTTCTTTTTTTTCTATTAGCCTTTATTTGGCTCAACAATTAAACATCTAAACTTAAATTATCTTTTTTCACAAATTAAACAGTTATGCACGAAAATTTGAAGAAAAAAAACMCATGAACAAATTTAATTTAATGATTAGTATTTACTTTGTTTATTATATTATGTTTTCATAAATTAAATTACCCATAAAATAACTAAGACCCTTCTGGATCATAATATAGTACTTGTGATTAATCATTACAAACAATTTCAAATATTATGTTTTATTGTGTTCAGGGACGGCCTGGGAGAAAAATTCAGGCCGGGAAAATGTATTACCCAGGCCACTTATTAATGTTTACYTTTAGGCGTTACTATAGTGGTGGAGGGGGGTAAGGGATTGCTGAGCTTATATTCTACTCCCACACTACCAATTTATTTATTATCTTATCTTTTAGTTTTTATTATATTATT